ACCATACGGCTCCGATTTCGGAGTCCCCGGCTCCGATTTCGGAGTCCCCGGCTGGTAGTGGTTAACAAACATTTGGAAAAATCACAGTTTCCTGCGCACAGTTCAATTTAGCGAATGAGACTTTATCTACTATTTATCCCATAATGCACTACCAAAAGGCCTCTCCATGACAACCTCTTGGTGGCACACTGCATTTTCAGTCGTCGGTATTGTATCTATTTCACTGTACATGTACGTGTATATTCAGAATCCAAGAATCTTGGTCATAGAACACAGTGCGTGACAGTGATAGTCCACCTAAAAGCACTTGCACCTTCCCAAAGAGCCTTAGTGCTAAACACTCCTAACAGCAATCCTGTGTTTTCTGACAACTACTATCAGCCTAGATTTCAAGCCTGACCAAATGGACGGTATCCGAATTATAAATGCATCAGTGAGAAATTGATGTAGCCAATTGCTAACGACTTCCATTAGTAGAAGTATCTTGGCCAGTCATAGCCATGTGCATTACATTGCCCACTAACATAGATGTACTAACCCAGTGGATTGGCATGTGTTTTAAAAAACTGAGTCGCTCACAGTCTGCACCCCCTCCTTGGAAATCAGCTTAGTGTTCTCACAGGGTACACAGAAGTGGGCTCAGTGGTTTGTTCTTACATGTTCGCAAACAGTGTCCTTGACGTATAGAATCCAGTGCATTTCATACTCTACCTCAAAAACCATCATTCCCCCTTTTTTTGCCAACAGGAGCAGAAGCTGAAGTTCTACCGTCTAATGATTGAAGTGGATCAGCACGAGGGTGCATACCTGGACATCTGTAGACATTACAGAGCTCTTTATGACACTCCCATCATCAAGGAAGACTCCACCAAGTGGAAGGAGGTCTGACAGACTTGTCAATATTTGCTCCAGCAAATGAAGTTGATAAAATATCCAATCTTTTTCAGTCCTGAGCCATGCGCCATTTGTACATATAGCAACGCTTTTGTATACTCAGGGTGTTTCTTGGCAAAAAGTGGATGCGTCAGAAAACCACCGTGGTTGAAATGAGAACACTGCTGAATGCAACCAAACTACAACAAATTCAACAGTTGAAGATGAAGCTACCGTCAGTGTAATGGAAAGAAACGCAATAGTTTGAATAAGAATCGGCTGAAAGTAACAAAGTGCAACCCAGCGGAAATAAGATTACTTGCGGATTTGGTATCGATAAAGCAGTGACCTGCCAGTGACCACACATTGTTTCATTCAGCTTTGAAATAGAAACTGGATTGATTTCTGATCCATTGATGAAGGTTGGCGGTACAATTCATCCATCTTACATCATTTCCCATCCATTACTCTGACCTGACCTTGATAAACCAGTGTCATTTCTTGTTCTTACGTTACTCTGTTGAAACTTCTAAACAATCTTCTAAAATGATGGAAATATGATTGCAGAAGTGTGTGGTCTAAAAGAAATGAGAAAAGTTTGATCACTGACCTGTACTTTCAAATTCCCAATCTGTGCTTCCTGAATCTGAATTTGTCTTTTCTTTTTTCCTTTCCATTCTCGCATTTTATCACCATTCCTAGATCCTGAAGCATGTGATTCTCTATCTAGTGTTAGCGCCCTTTGACAATGAACAATCTGACCTGATTCATAGAGTAGCTGAGGACAAGAATCTGGAGGAAGTAACCAAATACAGGTAACAAGCTGCAGATCCAACCTACTGAGAAATGTTCCTATTTTAACTGTCTCTGAACTGATATCTTGTGATGGCTGCAGTACATGTACATTCCCTCTGATGAACTGTTACTCGCAGCAAATTAAGTTTGCTTGTTTGTCAGATCTCAGAATAGCAAATCAGAACCATTCGACAGTTTTGATGTCTTCATTTTAAATGCAAATCAGGCATTTTCTAGTTCATGGAAGGAGCGAATTTTGTAATGGATCCTATGATTTGTTAAAATTGCTAAATATGCAAGTGATTAAAGATGAGCTGTTGGTATTTAAAGAAACTCTCCCCAGTTGAATACAAATTCCTAAGTCGCTACACTTTCTGACCTGCAACCATTTTCAGAGCCAGTAAGCAAAAACGTTTTAAGTAACGCGACAGCGTTCACAGTAAACTCAGGCCATTGGTCAAAACTTCATCACTGTGTATATCCGTTGTGACTAATTATCATCTGAATGTACGGAAGTCTGTGTTGTCGTTGCATACATACTGGGCACAAGGTGGCAAGTATCTATCTGTGAATCCCTCTTTGTCACTGCTGAGAGGGCACATGTGCGGAAAGTAAAGTGGAACACCGCTGTAACAAACACAAGGGTGTCCACACACAATATTTTGTACAGCAGCCATTCGGTATAGCAGTTTTCAGTCACAGATGTACACTCCCATTCAAACTCCAGCCCTTTCGAGCCTCTGGCGGCCCGCCCACAAAATGCATTGGTATAAGGATTTGGGGCCAACAGTTAAGCCCAAAATACAAAGTTACAAGTAAAAACCACTGAAATTCCTGTATTTTGTTCAATGTATGTTCATCTTCCTTTATGATGTTCACCTATTGGGTAGTCTTCACTGGAAACCGCAAAATGAAATCCACTTTTCCTTGAGTCACCTCTTAAACATTGCATGCAGTATGTACATGCAGTACACTTGTACTGGTTCCTGTTGGTAAAATGGAACACTAATAAATGGGCAAGGCCGGGAACCATTCTAATACATTGTCACTGTAGGCATATAAATGTTAAAGTTTGCAATGAAATTATCAGGCAAGCATCTTTGAAAATAATCAAAAGTAGGTACATGTAGATATTTATGGAAGATTTCTATGAGTGTTTGGTGAATTTTTGAGATAAGATTTGCCAGCTGTGTAACGATGATCATGCAGTAAAGTTTTCCGTACCAGAGTCACCAGTGTCACATATGCTCAGCAGCTGGTCTTATATTACGTGGTCGCATAATGGACACACACATGTAAATGTAGGCTTACGTGCATTGTGGGCTACCCACAAACTGCCCATCATGTCAGCCATTGTTTCATCGTGAATGCAGTTTTCCCCGACTTGAGTTGTCATCCGTTTTAAATGTGTTTCTTTCATTCAGAACAATATTTGAATATTTGAAGTGCAAAAAATTTGTACCTGAATGTTTGGTATAGCTGTGTTTGTTACTACAGCATTCAACTTTACTTTCTTGAATTCCCCTCTCTGCATCATTTAGGGATCTCCTGAAGTGCTTCACCACCCAAGAGCTGATGAGGTGGCAGCAGGTGTGCGCCATCTATGAGCAGGAGCTCAAGCAGGGCTCGGCCGACAGCTCGCCCACAAACGTCTTCAGTGAGACTGACCAGGGTAAACAGCGCTGGAATGACCTCAGAAACAGGGTAGTGGAACACGTGAGTAACACCAGACAAACTCTTGGCGAGACTTGAGCATTGCCTCATTCCAAACAGGTGACTGAATTTAAACCTTGGAAATGTAGAGACCATTACAACAGGGCTGGAGAGTTCAGTGGGGAGAAATCTTGCCGTACTTTGCAGTCGATTTCCCAAAATGCTTAGTAGCGTCTTAGGAGGGGTAATTCTTTCTAACTTGTGGCTCATCCTAGGATCGATTTCGCCAAACTCTGATGCCTTCCACACACCTTTACTTCCTTAGTAACAAGGCCGAACTCATTTGACAACTCTTAGGGTCATCTTATCTGCATACACTTTAGAGAAAGGCAACAATATGGTGCTCATGTTTCTTGCTGATCGCGAAGCTTGGCAGGCAGTTAGGCGAAGAGAGGATATTCCAAGATAGAAGAAATCCACTAAATAGCCTTAATGACAAAGAATTCTTCAGGAGATAAAGGTTTACAAGACGATGTATTCTGAGATCTAAAAAGAGTTGAAAATGAATCGGAGCCCCACACCCGGTGAGTAGGCAGTAGTAATCACCACTCAGTGAAAAATCTTGTACTAGACGTAGGTTAAATTTTGTAGTCATCGTGCAGAAAATAACGAGCAAAAAAGATTTGGGCTGGGGAATAAGGCCTTGATTAATGTTGGTGTGACATAAGAAATTATTCCAGTTGAAGATTGATGTAGGACGGATGTTAGTTTAAATGTCTGGGGAAAATCTTCCCTGATACATGTATCGGATCTTCATAGCCCTAGATACACATATACATGTACTTGTATACTTTGGGCTGGACAATTTTCAGCAGACAAATTTTTGACTCAAAACAGTTGCCAATCGACTACATTGTATCTTAAGTAATAGCTACGAGCACATATATTTCTGACAGCTGTTGCATGAAAGTGCCACCTTTAACTTGACACAGCTTAGAACGTGAAAGGTCATCCTCATCCAATAAATAGATTCTTGTTTAACTGTATATCTTACACATCTTGCTTAAGATGAGTTAAGTGAAATTGATCTTCGGACATGTCTGAGCTGAGATCGATCTTTAAGCTGGGACTAAGTCTTAATACGGGTTGGAAGATAAGACAAGTTTCATGCGATCAACTACTGGAGATGGTACGCTATTTAGGTTCATATCCTAGTACATGTGCAAGTTGTACATTTTCAGCATCCATTCTTCCGAGTCAAACAGTTATTCAAGACTAGCCAAGAACATATCCTATTCGTAACTACATGTACAGTAACTTTTGAGTCAATAAATCAAAACAAGTTCAAAATTTCCAATTAAATTCCATAAATTTCAAGGGGTTCATTCCATAGATTTTTCTTGGGGCACGCATTGGGGTACGCATAATGCACGGATGGCGTAGAACATGAATAGCCAGTGTAGTGAATTGAGGACTGTCAAATGTGTACTCGTTGTTAGTACTACACGTACCGGTAGTCCAATATTGTAAATATGCAGCCTATACAAAGGAAGGGGACCAGATCTCATAGGAATCTAAATTGCATGTGACACTAGAAATGTTTGTTTCTAAATGCAGCTTAAATCCAGTCATATTAGAAGTGAGGCTAACATCCGAACTGGTCCATATGCACATAAAAGAGTTGAGAGGAGTTAAGAGTGTATGCATAAACTGGTCAAATATTAAAGCTTGGATTACCAAAACAACTGTTTTTCAAAGAGATGTGTGACAGTCAACATTTGACATTTTGTTTTCCATGCAGAATATCCGGGTTATGGCCAAGTACTATGTTCGCATTACACTGACGAGGATGGCACAACTATTAGAACTTGATGAAAGTGTAAGCTTTAAGTTCACCCCTAGTCATTATATACTTAGGTTGTGAATTAAGAATACATCGTTTGGTACATTACTGTCAGACTTTGTAAGATTTTAGACTGAGGATTGTCTGTCTTATGTACCATTTTGGATGCCCTATTTTGTTGTGCAGATTTTTCTGGCAGTCGCCTTTTTCAATTGAAGTCTATTCCATTTTTTGAAATGCCAAACTACAGTGGATGTTTATACTTAAAGAATTTTACTTTTACAGGAGGCTGAGGAGTTCCTCTCCAATCTAGTCATCAAGAAAACCATCTATGCCAAGGTGGATCGTCTGGCTGGCATCGTCAACTTCTCTCCCGCCAAAGATCCCAACGAGATCTTGAACAGCTGGTCCATGAATCTAAACGAACTGATGCAGCTGGTCAACAAGACCACGCATCTCATTAACAAGGAAGAGATGCTTCACCAGTTCAACCGTTAGCCAAGTCATGGCTGTCCCAGTCATCTTCAACTTGTCACTGGTTGTGTGACAGGCACATTGGAGGGTTCACGTCATCAACAACAAAGAGATACAGTATATGTACACCTACTCGTCAAAGCGTGGAGTCTTTGTCATTTTGTCTTGGTCATTTTGTTTTTCACCTGATCAGCCTGAAGTGTCGACTTTGTCTTTATGTTTCTGTTAGCATGCAGTGAAGTAGTGTTGTATTCGAGTCCATTTTCAAGTCCCAACAAGTCCCTGTATTAAAGTTCATCACAAGTCATTCAGCCTGCTCACAAGTTATTCCAATGAGTTTTGGCAAAAGCATCCTTTTGTCATTGTTCACCCTGTTACTTACGACTGGCCTTGTGAAAGGACGTGTGCTAGACGCAAACACGACACTGCACTGTAGTTGACAGGCCGAAGGTAACGATTTTCGGTCTACTTTGTGGTCAACAGATGTTGCGGTGTTGATGGTGACTTTCAGACAGAATTCCTCTCAGTGTAAACTAAAATTAGTTTTTTTGAGTCCTGAGGTGAAATGGTCTTTTTTCTCCAACCGGCCTGGCATCCTTCCAGCATAAAGGGGAGTCTCTCATTTTGCTGTCATTAAGTCACGGATGTATGTCCTCTCTGCTCAGTGTTCAATAAAGCCTCATTTATTTAGACTAACTTGACAGATTTGATGACCTCCTTCGCAGTCTTTGCCTCAGAATCTAACAATTTCCAGAGGAGCAAAAACCAGCTGCCGGAAAGCGAAACGTTTTAATGCAGTTTTCTTGCAGTGGAACTCCTATAGAAATTTCTCCATGTTGCCTATCACCTCTTGTTCCAATTACATTTTATTATCTTGAATTGATTCTCCGTTGATGTTTTTTCCTGTTAGACACACATGCGCGTTGAAGGTATACTTTCTATACAGATTAAACAGCCACGTATATTGTGGGAAAATGTACCTATTTAAGTGTTTAAAATTGTTATGTTATGAGTCTTAATAGGTCTGTCTCCCAGACACACGTGATATAAGCCTACATTTGACACCAGAAGGTCGTTATATCCATTGCAATAGGCAAAGATCACATAGCGTTACACACAGTGGGTAGTCGGTAATTGGAAGTCACCAAAGCTTTCATGAATAGCAAAAGAATGATAAAATCCATTGCTGATTGGCCTTCATTATGATAACGATACATGACGAAGAAATTATATTACTTGAAAATCAGCCCTGAAGCCTGGTTTTCAAAACTTAATGTTCCTAACGAAATGCCTGCCCACGCAGCATGAGGGGCCGATCTGAGGGAATCAGATTTGTTTGGTTTTTTGGCCCCATTCACGTCATAATATGTGTAATTGGACCTTTCACTGTAAAAGTTCTGATTTCATCGTGTACGGCGTTGTAAGGTAACAAGGAAACCGAGCCCTTCGAGAAAGCTTTCATGTATTTTTCAAGGAACTCGTAACGACGCTCTCGGTCACCCTTCATCTTCTTCTCTATGAATTTCTCTGACATTTCAACATACATTTTCTGGTTACCGATATACACCTTATTGAAGCATAATAGAAACTACATGTGGGCTTATATCTTATAACATAGCACATTAATACATGTAAATGTACATGTGTTCACCGTATGAACTAGGCCTACTGTAAGTACTCTCTAGACCGCCCAAAATCTCAAATGAATTAACTGTCTTCATAATAAATCTCATCGGTATCATGATACAATGTGTTGTATTTTTACCGACTTTTGAAAGTTTAACAAACTTAAACAGCTTTTCAGAACCACGCAAACTCACGAGTTGATCCCATGTGTTACCGCACGTTTTCACTTTAATCGTGCTCTACGTTTGCCCGATCAAGGTGAACAGCCGAGAAAGTCAACGCTGAAAAGATGGGCTCTGCTCCCACGTTGTGACGTGATTTGGTTGTTGACGTTCACCTCAAAATACCGAGAGCCTTTCAGAAACAGGAAAGAGCCTGCAAGTATTGAAATGCATGTAAAAGCGTCGACTAATAGCTCTGATACAGTTTGACGACACCGTCCTTGTAAAAGACTTTTCTAAAAGATACGTCCTGGCTTAGAGAAAATAGAACTGCTGGTATTCGTGCTGAAAAAGATCTAAATTATGCTAACAAGAAAGCTGTCATATTGACAACATGGCATGTCAAATTAGCGAAATGCTGTCATAAAACGGGATACATGTATTATGTAACATTGGCAAAATTGTGTAACAAGCCAATATTGCGTCAAAATGACAAGGTCGTATTTCTAAGTGACAAGATAGTACAGTATGTCAAACTGACAGGATTGTGTCAGTGTGAGGAACGACCTTGTCAAATCCTGTCATTTGGAGACACCCTGCAAATCCTTTCATTCCAATAGCCCAGTCATATGCAACGGGACGAATGATGACGAATTTTTTTGGTCTCAGTTTGAGTAGCCCGTGATCAGGATTTTGTGGGTGGCATGAGCACGCTACCGAGGCTTACCGTCATTCAGCATCTCGCCTCCCGTCACCCCAGTTGGTAGATTGACCCAAACCTCACTGACACGTCGCGGATAACCTGCCTCCACAAACTCCGTCACCTCGTCATACAGCCACACTTGGTCGCCCCGTATTAGGTAGGTCTTGTTAGGTGCCATTTGGCTGGCTTGGAGTGCAGCCATGGGGGGACGTCTGATTCTCATTGCACTGAGTCTCTTTGGTTGGCCGACTCTACGCTTGCCATTGTAGACGTAGTACTTGGAGCCTTGTAAGAGAAGCAAAATTTCATAGTGTTGGCCATCAATGACATTCTTCGGATAGACTATCGCCCTCATCAACTTTGAGACTACCAACACCTTTAGTGACTTGATAAACGTGCGTTTCACAACGCGTTGGCCAATCACAATGCACGAAATTTGTCGACCCAACGCGCGTTTGGAAAGGGTCGACAGATTGCGTGCGTTTTGATTGGCCAATGCAATGCAAACTCTTGGAGGCGCACTATTGTGAATCTTGCAAACATCGTCCGCACCTTTAAAGAAGACCACGTTTCCATCCCCTCGCTGGTACACAGCCGTTATCCTCTTCGGTAATCCTTTCCAGTATCGTTGGGCTCGCTCCCCACCGGGAGGAGACAGCAGCTGTCTGTCGCTGATGCGGATCAGCCAGACCAGATTGTCCTGCGTGAGCGAGGTGTGGTTGATCAGTGACAAATCTTAGGAAGCAGCCATGAAGCTAATAATGCTTGAACCTGATGGTTTTTATATAGGCCCTACTACGGGTTTTTCACACTTTATGTGCCTCAGTATTCAGGTCTTTGAAAGGGGGGCTTAGCGAAGAACTTCGCAGTCACCCATATAGCCAGGACGTATAAGATTATGTCTTACTATCGGTGTTGCAGTCCATCACGAGTCCGTTCGTAGTCCTTTCAAAAATCCAGTCATAAGTAACAAACAATGAAAACGAGATGCTTTTGTCAATATTTGTATGAATAGCTGGTGACATGAAACTCCCATGGTTTACAAGGGATTGTGGTGGACTTGACTTAGCTTGTTCGTTCAATCAAACTTTCATCCTGGCCATCGTTCTTATATACATTCAGAACCAAGACCTATGGGCTTTTAAATAGATTATGTGTATTGATTTGAAAATCACACCCGCTCCGCCCACAAACTCACCCTGAATGCGAAAAGCGTGTTGTCCATTTTCAACAGAGCAGTGAATGGCTCGTGGCACATGGTATACACGGCGTCCGGCGGTCGCTTCGTGCGCCGTGTTGGAACGGCTACTGCCCTGTCAGGTTCAGGTCGGTCACCAAGTCTTACGCCTAAGGAGATCGGATCATTGGATTGTTTGAATCTATGACCAACTCCCCTGAAAAATGAGACCGCAAGATACCCCCCTCCTTTGCATACTAACTGACGTCATAACATGTTCCTATTTTCTGTCATTCAAAACTCACATTGCTCTAAATACTTATTTCAAAGTGAGCGTTTTGCACGGAAAGCTATTTTTAACTTCATGCTGAAGACGAGTTGTTTTGTGTGACTGTGATGCTCCTCACAGAAGGTCGAACGACATCTGTACTTTTGGAAATCTTAGGATGACTTTCGGTAAGGTTAATTGCCCGTCGCTACACCGATAAGTGGACCCCACGTTGGCTCCCTCGACCACACACCCATCCTTACACTGACCGTAAATGTGTTGTATTCCTTGCGTGTCATCTTGGGGTAGTTGGTAACCGTTAACAGGAACTTGCATATAGTTTGGCCACATAAGACTATCTGGATCGTCAGAATGAGCCAAGCCAAGGCTGTGTCCGATCTCATGAGCAGCGACTAGAAACAAGGCATATCCTGCATAAAAATGATACTCCTGTTAAGTTTTGCGTTTGCGAGTTTTCTTTTTGACAAGCGCTATTTAATGACAGGCCTTTTAGCTAACCAAGTTGGTTTTGATTTTGCCACCCATTGAGTTCCGTACATGTGATTTCATTCTGTGGTAACAGCACTGGTACTTCATATACCATTGGTGCTCCTACTTTATTTCGTATTGTTTGTCATTTTTTAATTTATTTTTTATTTATATATTTATTTGGTCTCAGAGCAGGGGGTTGACCACCCCACCCACCGAATCTGCGCCTAAAGTGTGCAGATGCTCCACAAACAAAAATGAACACGGTTAGCAGGGATTTTATGCTTACGGTATAAGGGTGAGCATTAAACTAGGTTAAGGTGTGCTCAGTCTCACCTACTCGGCCGTTAGCTGTAAACATTTCATCGTCATCGAAGTGAATGTCACCCTCCAGGTCGCCCCAGAAGCTATTAGGGGAGAAAGCGTGCGCCAACTCGCCGTCCTTCCCATCAAAGGAAAACCACTGCGGCTCCTCTGCATGGTGCATTCTGCTGCCGAATTTGATCTTGATGTCGGCCCCCTGAGACGGGTCCTGGACCTCTCGGAAGGTTAGAGGGGTGACGTCACTCCAAACTTTGAAGGCTTTCTTGATGATTCGGCGTACCTCTTGCGGCTGCAGAGCATTTTGGCCCGACGGATAGTTCAAATGTCTACCGTCACGAAAAAAAAATTTCTGTTGCCGTATTTACTTTAGATTTTCCTCCCTGAACAGGGTATAACACATTATGCAGTGAAAGTTTCGGACTAAAGGTAAGATATAATTTCTATAATAAGCTTTTTATGTACTCATGAAGCCTTTTTTCAAACACCCAGTACGTCCCCCGAGAAACTTCGATTCAAAAACCTTCAAATAAGGTGCCAAATAAGTCTAAAGGACATTGCTTGTAAGAATCTCTACCACTTCGAGTCGTTTCTCCGACTTTAACCACGTCCCTCCCTCTACTGTTGTCCATTGCACAAGAGAACAAATGCCTTTAGTGTGGCGCCTTTAGCTGTGAGATGAATCCGATCAATCTTCCAACGTTGGATTGCTAAGTAAATCTGCATGTAAATGAACGCTTTACTCGGGCCCAAGCCATTAATTATTGTGCAACTCTTCGGTTGAATGCACAAGATTTTTTTCATTCATATACACTGTGCTGTGCAACATCGGTGTATCATAGGGCGCACACTGTCTTCATAACCTAACGATTCCACGTGGATTTGTGGAAGTTAGCTGCAGAAGCAAACCATGCAGATTCAAGTTGAGGACTTTTTACACCGCCAACAAGCAAGTTTGGCGAGCGGATAATTTGGTAACCACAGTTCACAGTCATTACAAATGAAGACCATAATTGTGATCTGGGAATTATATGCTGGAGGCTATACTCGTCGAAATCCCTCGGTCACCGGAGGAAATTATTTCGTTTGGAAAATACATGTACATGCATTTGGGCCATCATCTGGGAAGTATTCATGGGTAAGTTACCAAACGATTAATTTTGTTCTCAAAAGGTAGATATGAATTGTCATCGTTATTGTGATATTTAAAACATACTTACTTCAATAGTAGAGGAAGAGTTAAAACTGAGGTAAAGGTGGAAGTAAATTAGCTACATGTAAGTGTGAATTTTTGACAGCAATTCGGTGATCAATGAGAAGAATTGTACGTTACAACTAGCAGGTGAATATCAAGTAAAAATGACGAAAATGATGCTGTAAAAAGAAAATGGAAGGATTTTGCATAAAAATGAATGAGACACATTGAACATGAGAGAAGTGCAAAGTGTTTTCCTCTTAAAGAGTGAAAATTTTGTAATTGGCACCAAAGTGTTAGCGCGGCAAATCGAATAACTCAGGGAGAACATCAACTCTTAGAACTTCTAAAACAGTGAACGTAAATGTAACGAGGTTTTTTCCCCCGTTGATTTTGAAGTTGTACTAATTTAGTGTGACAACTGTTATTTTTGTGTCTATCAAGTCAATTCTGATGGTCTGTCATTATTTTCTAAGAATGTACAGTTAGCTGTACAGTCTTAAAAAGAATGTACATGACTGTACATTCTCAAGTTTTCTGAACAAGGTGACATAGCAAGAGTGATTCAATTACTTGTAACTGATGTCTGTTTTTGTCCACCTGAAACTTCGACCGGTAATGCTATACTGCAGAGGCAATTCGATGTTCATCATAACTTCACCAGCCCCTTCCCCACCGGCCACCACGTCTGGACACCCGCAGCGCGGTTGCCTCATCATCTCGACTGTCTGTCGGTCTGGTCTGCCCGTAACCGGTAGATGGAAAAAGTGCTGCATCCGCCGTATGCTTGCACTCAGACGAGGGTCATCAGTCGAACTGATGGGTCTCCCAGAATTCTCACCTGTGTTCATGTAGCCGTATTTCTTCAAGTACCTCTAAAGAAAGAGGAAAAAGCTGCCTAGGTCGTTTCACCGCATAATCTTAAGAATTTTAAGAAATTAGAGGTACATAGTACAGTAGGCGTGTATCTTAATTTCTTGTCAGATTCGACTACATGTATATATGGCAGTCATCTAAGTGCAAGCCATTAGACTGGACAATTATTATTACCCCATCTGCCACACATCTTGAAAATATTTTTCACGTACGAACGTAATAGCTCCACATTACGTACGTGATAGTTTAACGTACGCATGATAATTTCACCGACGTTCATGTTAGTTTGAGGTACGGACATGGTAATTTTCACTTAACCTGCAAAATACTGGGGGGTGGCAGTATAGGTTTCAATATGCAGGCATTACGCTGTCGACAACTAGTTTAACGCTTTAGTTACTCCGAGATGGCATCTCAAATGGAAAGATCGATAGCTATAGTAGTTTCTTACCACAGTGCCGCTTAGATCTGTTTCGGTGACTTCATGATGTTCCCTCCGGCTTGGACGAGTTGCATCGGTGCTCCAGAGGAGCAAAAGAAAGCACAGTCTCGTCAAGTAATGTTTCATGGCCAGAATTATGCAGAAACTAGACAGCTCTGATACTAACTCCTTCGCTTCTGTCAAGATTGATTCGCTAAGAATGTGTCTTGCAGACGTCTGATATACAGACGTGAGCTCACCCTTGCTTTTATACGCGACGCTGGTGTTAGGTTGTCAAGTATAAACGATATGCAACGGGTCAACGGTGACTTTGCAATTCGCTCGATCGTCTTGTTTGTATTGAAACCTGATCTGCACGGTGACAGAAAAAGAGTAAAAAGGTGTCCAAGTGTGCGTGGGAATATGGACAAGTCATTTTCCGTTACTTCGCGTTCAAGCGTCATTGTTTCAACCTGTCTAGCCGTCCACTCAACATCCTCGCGTTTACCATCGTCAAATTGTCTCTTTTCGGCCTAATCGTGGCATTTGAGCTTTTTCTATGACCCCAGTGTTCTACAGATTAGTGGTTTTTTACTTTTATTTATTCATGGCTATGGTCAGGTTCAGACCTCTTAAAGCGAGTGTAGCACCCAAGAATGAAGTTGCAGATCATTTTGGCCGGACATGCGTGCTTGAGAGGAGCTCACGCGATCAAATGATAACAAATCAGTCGATCTTAATGCACCTCCTAGGATTTGGGCATCCGAACCAATTAACCCTGCGCTTGTAAGAACAAAGACTACGCCAGAGTACAGGTGTGGGTCGAATGCATGAAATGATTACCATACGCCTAATTTGGCATCGTGTTTGTTGCTTTCATCAGACGTTTCGACCAAGTTCATTCCTGAGTCCTATTTCCTCGTTTATTTTTATTATTTTTTATGTGGTACCTGACTGTGCCCTTTTGTCCACGACTATCCGGTAGGCCAGATGTTTACACACTTCAACTCTTGTTTCCTCTCCTGCAGTTCCTATTAAAGGTGAATGTCATCGCGCTGTTTGTAACCCTGGGTACAAAAATGTCGGTGTGGACGGCTAATACTTATTTTACAGTGTATTGTTATATTGTTCAAATACGCTTTGGTCTCACAAAACCGCATTGCTAAAACATCGAAGTTCATCTTTCTTGACATAATCAGTTTAGAATGTCCCGGAAAACGGTTTTATAGTATAAAACAAGTTTTGAGCTGTCCCGTCAAAATGCATAATTAATTGCCTGTGCAGAATACTAATTAGGCCTATACATCTTTGAAATAAAAACCATTATCATTCTTTCTACAGAGTCAAAACGACAGGAACACATGTCAACACAGTGGAAACTCTTTATTTAGAATTAATTAGATTTTAAATTCCGTTTTATATCGCGTACGCACGTTTTTTGTGAGTTCCGAGTCTTTCCTCTAAATACCAATATAAATTGACTGAATGGCGTAATATCTGTTTTCGATCATGAGTACAGATCACAATAAACCAGAATTTTTCGGACAAAATCCGTTAAAGCCTTCTTTTTGAAGAGAGAACGCCTTTAAACTACCACTCAACTTTTGCCGTTCGGAAGTTCACCTGCGGTAATTGGGTTGCGCTGGGGCGACAACTGAATCACAACTGGGCTAGGCAAAGAATTATGTCACAGTGGGACAAACTTAGACGGCATGGCCTCAGCATGACATCATCCAGAGACTTATGTCGGACGTTTCCACGGAAACGGGTTGATCCAACATTGTTAGAATTGTTGGTGACTTTACTTCAGTTTGGTGATTATGTATTGTCAAGGATGTTTTGAAGTGTCCCAGTTCCGGGGCAGATACATTTATAATTCCAGTTCAACTGTCACCCGTTATAAAGACTAAGATAAGCAACGCTAACCGTAGTAGGGTCAACCGTGCTGCGTTTTTCAGTCTTTTTGTTTGTTTGCTTGCTTGTTTGTTGGGGGGGGTTGTTGGGGTGTTTGTTTGTTTGTTGGGGTGTTGGGGTGTTTGTTTGTTTGTTTGTTTGTTTGTTTGTTTGTTTGTTTGTTGGGGTGTTTGTTTGTTTGTTTGTTTGTTTGTTTGTCGCCAAGCAACGATTGCGACGTGAAAGCCCTCTTTGGTCAAATGTATTATGGCAGTAGATATTTTACCGTCGCTGACAATTGTTCCAAAACGATATTTTGCCGGAAGCCTTGTTCTGATTGGTCTTGGCGTAAGACGTCAATGATCTTTAACAATGGTGGCATTAATGTATTTGCACAAAACGACAGCCGCCCATTGAATACTTGTTCAGTCGGGCACCAAGATATCACTGCGTTGTGCATCAAAAATTAACATCGGCGCTCTATCAATCCAAACAGTCATTATATGTGTAAATTTCCCATGTGGGTATAGCTATTCGCTGAAAAGATTTGATCATCTATGGTGCTCCTTGACTTTCCACTATGCACTGCGGTCATGCCGTCCTTCTTTTCTCAGTACCGTATCGCAATGGACGTGTCTTTCAGACATCGAGTTTTTCGAGTTCCGATTCCCTACACGGTTCTGTGCCCACTTAAATCATCCGGTCTTAATTCCTTAATGATTTTGTACCGTGGTTTTAATTTTTTGTTGGTAAGAGTGCTATTTCTTTTCTTTTTTCTTTCTTTTTTTTTTTTGGTGCCTTTTTCTGTCTCTTTCTGCGTGTACATTCTGCAGGTAGGAACGGTCAACCCAACACCCCCATAGGCCCTGCCGCTTGAGTGGACGCATTCGCACGATAGCGGTCCTTATACATGTTATCCACACAATCCTAGCTGAATGAGAAGGTAGATTGTAATTTTAGAGGTTCTTCCCTTGTAACCACTCGAGCGGGCGTTCCCTTATTTAAGCAGTCGTTGTGAATTCAGGCCTAATGGCTTGAGTGGGCGATTCTCGATAAGCGGTAGGACGGGGACAAGGATTAGCTGCGTGTGTGTTTCACCCGTATCTATTTTTTTTATTTTACACCTTTAGACATAAATTACAAAGCGAATTAAAAATGAAAACCGGGGCTGTCAAGGTCAAACAAAAGTATAAAAACTGTCATCAAAAGATGTGTTAGACCAGACCCCGGTTCCAAAACACGATAAAAAGGCGGGAAATACCAGGAATAGAGAAAATTAAACACCAGAGTTCCAGAACAAGGATACTGAATTAAAACGAAAAATATAAAAATATGAAACGCAATACATAAAGAAACTGTATAAAAAAATCCAAGTAGATTTTCGGCAAAAGAATTACCTGATGAGATAGGGCAGACCAAAACAAAGGTAAACATGCGGAAAGAACAACAGCCAGAATTGGAAAGGACCTTTAAAAAGTCAAGAATAAAAAGGTATTGCTGATAAATTCCAAAATATAATGCTGAAATTATACATGGAGTTGACAAAAAACGTATGTGGCTCTGACAAGGATAGGCCTTAGCCGCGAGCGGGGGGGGTCGCTAACGGGATGTATCTCCTGCTCGTCAGTCGTGCACGGTAGCCGACTGATGCGGCTAGATCGAGCCCGTGTTGTTCGCATGAGCTCTGATCTCTTACGGGATGAGGGATAGGCCAAGCTGCATGAGTGGGCACTCCGTTTCTTAAGCGGCTCAGACGAGGACTCCAGCCTTAACCGCGACGCTAAGCTCCGGGAAACTTCTGACTCATAACCATTCTATCTCTCCGCCCTCCAACAGACCGCCTAGTTAACCAAGCCAGCGCTTCCAGCGACCGTCGAAGACGCAACGAGTCGGCTGTTTGAACGCCTGTGGCTCACAAAAGCCAGCGGACCAATGGGGCTCCTCTCCCCTCCGACGCCCGCAACGGCTACTGGCCATCGTAGCTCTGCTACATGCAAGACCGAATCCTCGGTAGTATACCGGCCGACCAGACACGTAGTCGGCCTCATACCGACAACGCCTGGACGGGCCCTCCGCGTTCCACCGGGTCAGGCCCACTTGATGATTCCTCGGCTCACGGTTCCGGGACACCCAACAAGAATTCACCGGGCACCGTGAAGCCTAGCGGGCTACTACGCCAGCACGCAAGGCCGCATCCTCGGTAGCATCGGTTGACCGGACATCTAGTCAGCCTCATACTGCGGCTCCTGCTTTCAGCTTTGTATTTCCGGGAAACCGGGGCCTTCCTCGGCTGGCCCATCGCCCCAAGAAGACGGCGTCCGTAACCTGAGCCAAGTTCCCGCCTGCCCCCAGGGGATGAGCCTCCGACCTCACCCACCGTGTCGGCTGCTAATTCACCCCTGCGTTTCAGACCCGAGGGCGAACGGCCTTCTTCTTCATCGGTTTGTTCAAAAACAGATAAGAGACGTCATTCCAAGCAACGGGAACAACCCCTGAACCTTGGATGACAGCGTTCCAGTCTATTAACGAATCTCTGTCCTCCCTTGTCGACTGCCTGAGCGGACAAACCCACAGCGGCTTCTGCCGCTCCAGACCCGGACCTACCTTTCCCGTTTCCTGCAGCCTCAGCCCGTTCTGCAGTCACAGACAACTACTTCGAACGTAGAACTCGCCGAGGTCTAAGCCAAGCTGGTGTTCCCCTTCTAGAACATTCTGAGCATCCAGGAATCCCACTCTGACACGACTGTGCTTCAGTCCGAGCAACAGACCAGGTCGCCAAAAGATGACATCGACTTTGTCGGCGATTTTCCCCTTTCAATTTCGATATCCTGGCGTGACAGTGATGCCAATCCCTCTTGGGTCAACGTCCCGTTGTTTCCGGGACGGCCCTTATAGAGGCGATACTGGACTACGGAGCCTGCCAGCCATTCGCGCGGTTAGGGCCTCCGAACTCTACACACCCTGTCTTCCGGCTACCTTCTCGGAAGAATAATTCTACCCTGGCCTTCTTGGTCCCCCAGCCACAGACGTGTATTAATAAAATCCGGACTCGCAATGCCCATAATCAGCTTGAATCCACTCGCGGCCATTTTACCGAACCGACTACAAAGCTTTCCTGGCAATGCCTGCCTTTGTTCTTTATGACGTCAATAGAAGGGAGCCAACCCACGCTTTTATATTCGGCTCGGTAAAATGGCCGCTGGTCGGCTTCTTTTTCATACAAAGGCGTTGCAAGTCCATGTTTTTTATACACATCTGTGCCCCCAGCCCGCTCTGGGAATACCCCCTATAGAGACAGCGCCAGGCAATGCGGGTTCAACACCGCCCGCATCCTGGGCATTAGTACCGCCTTAATCTCCTTATTCATGCCGCGTGTCTTACAAGGCTGGCGGTGGGAAGAACCCACACTACTTGTGCGCCAGCCCTGCTGAGCGCTCCAACACCTCGGACCTCTGTTCTCAATCACCCTTCATTGGGGGCATGCAGGTATGGGTGCATTGCACATGTTACCTGACCCCCCCGCGTTAGTCGGTGAGACTCCAGTGGACGTAACACATTTACGCAAGCACAATGCAGACCACAGCGTAGGTAACCGGTCTACTCTGCCGCCGAGGTTTCTGTTTACCATATGTTGTCCAATCGTTCTCATTCCTCCCTACACCCGGGACTAGACTCGAACCAGCCGTTCTTTGGGATATTCAGTACACACTACACCCTATCATTAACCTGCGCACCAACCCTCGACTGGTGTCCGTCCCACCATAGCGAACGGTGGGTCCGGCACTACACGAAAAACAGAAAAATGAAGACGACTCCTCCAACAACAGTGCAGCATACAGGAACGAGAGAAGCGAAACTTGACACTCCAGCCACCGCCAAACCACAAAAAAACATACGTGGCACCGTGCTGGTCACCAGGAAGAAACAATGGTCAGTAGTCCGTGGTAGAA